AATGAATTAATTTTTTTCCACCCCTAGCCATCCTGGTTTTTCTGTGTATTTGATTTCTTCCCTTATAAGATTTTCAATCTTACTTAATTATTATTTTACTTTGGAGGACGTAACTAAGTTAAAGGAAGTTTTGTACTGCTTAAAAATGGGTGGTGAAATTCAGAGCAGTGAAGGAGGTTGCAGTCTTTTGGCAGCTTTTTGCGGAAAATTGGTGCATTGATCGATCGATCAGTTATCGCTTTAGTTACTGTTTTTCTTATTTTGTAACCTCACGTTGGAGCGACTAGGGAATCTTGGAAGTTGAACATTGTTCGGAGACGATTACGATATATAAATTAAGACCAGTCATTGGTGTCAAAATTACCTCGCCGATGTTTTTGCTTGGTGATTGTTGATGAATTGATTTATCGATTCATTCTATTAGGTGTTGTCGCTGAGCTTGCGTTTGTCTCTGACCCGTTACTTGCTCGCATCCTCTCGTGGTACCTTCAGTCTAAAATGTCAGTCACACTCACTTGCACCACAGAACAGCAACGGAAAGTCTACGACGCAGGGTGTCCGGCTTATTGCGAAGCCACATTATTGCCTTTCACAAAGAGAGACTTTGACGGAAGTGATGGCAAACGTCTTCCTCTTGAGCTTCCATCCCCGCCTTCTAACTATCGTAGCCCCATTGAATTCGCAGTAAATCTCCTTGAGTTTACCAGCGACAATGGTTACCTTCGCTCGACCCTGTTCTGGAACCTTCTGTCGAAGACAATAGTTGTCAAAGACCTTAAATCTGGCCAGGCGTACCGAGAACATGTCACCAGAATGAGGCAATCATGCCCCACGATTTTGACACGTGATGGGAACATGATCGCCTCCGACGGCTTGATGGATCCGAAGAGATGCTGTCCGCAGAGGTTAGAAGATTTGAAATTTGCGTTCGGGGCGTTACCTGCTAGGGAGACGAAGAATTACAGGGATCTGAAGGAGAGATGTGAGGCGCTCGAAAGGCTTAATGCAACGGTGGTAAAATACGAGCGGGAAATGACAGATGTCCGCGCTAAAGAAGAGCAGCTGAATAATGCCAAAAAGAGTTTAACACCTCGTATAAACGATCTTGAAAGAGAACTTAAAAAACTGAGAACTCTTGAAAAAGAAAGGGACAACAGTGAACCGTCTGAAAAACGGAGGAAAAGATAACCATAGAGTTATTATTTCTCGCTATTGCTTAAAACATTTCTTGGTAAGCTTAGTGATACAGTTGGACAGATTGTCCATCGTTTTTACACGTCTCTGTGTAGTCTGTCGGTTGTATTTGGTGCAGTTTTTATGTCGGAATCTGGTGCCCTTACTCTTTTTTCATGTCTACCTTGGTTTAAAGTGCACCGTTTTAGAGAAATCTTTATACAGTGGCAAATCTGTGAAGCGTGTGTTGATATGCGGTAGAATCTTAAGTGTTTTTGGTATTTTGGTATTTCTATGGCTTCGTTCTTTTTAGCAAAGAGTTTCTAAAGTTTATTTGTCATTTTAGACATATTTTTACTGCTGGAACAAAATTTGTCATAAGATTTTTAATTGTTTGTGATCAGTTACGGAGGATACGTAAATGTTCATTGTATAAATCAAGAAAATGCTGAAGTGGGAGAAGAGTACCCATTGATTTCTTCGTAAGGCCGACTGCTTAAATCGTTTTAGTTTTACTTTTTTCACATGATTAAGCCTTGGGTTGCATGCTTTTTGTGCAACCAAGTTGATACGGTTTAGATTTGCCTCGTTATGTTGGTGTTTTAATCAAGTTAGCTTGCAAAAAAAGTTTTATCTCGTAATAACCTGCGCCCAACGTCGACAAGTTTGGCAAAGTCAACCGCACCCAGTTCCAAAAGTTTAGCCTACGGTCTTTGACGTAGGATTTATCCATTGATCGTTTCTCTAAGAATTTATTTTAATGTAATGATTCGAGTAAGTTAATTTATTTTTATTCCATTGAGGTATTATTTAAAAGTACGAAATTATTGTTAGGTTTTATTTATTAAAGAGTTCAAATTTCCAGAAGGCACTATTATTATTCGAATTGAAAGTGAAACTGTCCATTCTTTTTATTTGCGCTAGTTTTACAGGTATTGTCGGTGCAATCTGTTTTTCCTATCCTTTTTGCAGATTTGTAAAGACTTTGTTTGTTTGTTTTGGTATACTTTATGCTTAGTAATTAATTGTTATTCCTAAAATAATAAACGAAAATACTAAGAATAAAAAGCCAAAACAGTTTGCAGGTCTGCGAAACGAGCAACGACTTTGTTACCAACGCGATTTGATCGCGTTTTGCGGCCGGTTGGTTTGGTTTCAGCCATTTGACTGTAATTAGAAATAGATGTATTTTACCCTTTTGACAGGTTGACTGAACACAAAATTTTTCCCATATCCAGAAGATTACATTGACATCTCCATTTTTCTTAAAGAGTTTTACAAGAAATTACCAAAGTATTGAACAAAGTTCTTAAGTGTTCCAGCTTTAGGAAACTGCTATTTATTTATTGTTAGCTTAAAAAAAAGAAATTGTCATACGTGCGCGTGTTCAGTATTTTAAACGAGTTGTAATTTGTTGGCATTCGCCACCTTGGATTAAAAACCACGAAAATGAGTTTAAGTCTGAAATCAACGTTTCTTTTACCTTTATAGCCTTGCCACAGTCAGAATTCGGACATTATGGTCCGTTTTTGGATATGCGCGTCCATTTTTTGACACCTGCTTCCGTTTTTGGACACTAACCTTCGTTCGTAGACACTGGTGTTCTTTATTAGACACTAAAAAAGAAACAAGCGTCTGTTTTAGGACACTAACTTCCTTAAAGAACACTATTGACCACCATTTAGACGATAGATGAATATTGTTTAAAGAGCTTTAACTACGGACCCAAAGTTACGATTACAAACCCAAAGTTCGTAACGATAACTTTGGATTCTTAACTTTGCAGGCGTAGTTGTAACTATATCTTGTGTCAATAATGGGCTCCTGATTCCGTATACTGATCAACGATTTCGAATAGCACCGGCCGATTTCGGTTGTTTGTTGAATTTTGCAAGAGGCAAAATGATTGTACTTTTCTTTTTTTTTTTTATTGTCTTGATTTGGAGCAGTGCGTTGCAAATGTCGAGCTGGCGCTACACTTGTAGTTGGAGTGGGATACCCAAAATCGCCATTTGTAACCCCGCCTCCCTGATGCTCAGGCACTCGATTTCCGGTTGGTATCTCCTTTCCAGTCCATCTTCCGCTCAGCTGTAGCAACCAATCGTTGGATTGGTTTTTGGTCACATGAGCGTGGTATAAAGGTCAGTAGCAATCTTAATTAAGATCAGTGCACATGATCATCGAAGATGGCGAAAGTGGAGAAGGAAACCGTGAAAGTAAGTTGAAATGTGTAATTAAATGTGATTGAAACTCTAGCCCTCTTGTGCAGATATCCACACCTACACTTAAGTTGCAATGTTATATTATTACCTTACCGGCGTGTTCTTAGGACAATAGTTACCTTTTTTATTTCACTTTCAACGAATCTTTCTAGCTAACCACGTGGTCCATGGCGGTAGCAATTTCACGTCAAAATTGTTTCAAAACAGTTTCACAAAACGACAAGAAGTACTAAAAAGAAGTGTAAGCGTTCAGAACTATCGAAATGTTCAGTTTTACCACTTCATGAACGGAGCATAAGGGATACAGAAACAGAATTTTCCTAACAAGCTTTCGCACATCACAACCGCGTGTTTCAAATCGGTGGAACGATTAAATACAAACTTAAAGCGATATTATATTAGTTCGATTATTTTATCCGGTTTATGTACGAGGTGACTTTCCCACATTGCAACAACGCTTTTGGGTGACATTTTCCTTTGTTTCCCGCACTTACGTATGGAGAGCGTGTGTTGATGTGTGTAGTTGGCGACGTTCTTGCTGTGGTCGCGGATGCTAAAATCCAAGACTAATCCGAATGGGGGCTGGTAACTGATTTACAAGGAAATGCGTAGCAGTTAGAGGGGAGTTGTTTGTCAGTGTCCCAGCTAGTGATGACAAAAAGATGACGAGCCTGACATATCTTTGAAGTATCACGTTTTGTGTAGCTTCTCTGGAACAGTGATGTCGAATCGAGGCATTTGTCTGAGGCTGGTAAAGAGACGCTGAACAATTCCTGGTAATAATTTTTCACCAGAGCTCACGTCCTTTCAACAACTTTAAGGGTATCTGTGTCCTGGATTTGCAAATCGTTTAGTTTGGTGAAATTGTGAGATTGTATGTATCTCAAATTCTTTTTTCCTTTCTCTATTTTTTTTTTTCTGTTAAGGTGTAGGACAATTCCACTAGAGGTGGTCTTTGGCTATAAAAAAATGTAACCAGCAACAAGGAACATTTTTCCTCAATGGTGAGCAGTATGTGAGTCAGTAATGAAAAGTAATCATTGTTGCTCACAATTAAATTGTTAATGTTCTTTGCTTGGTTTATGTTTAAAAAAGGCTTAATTAACCCTTAAAAAACCAAGATCTCATCAATAATTCTCCTTACTGTCTGCCAAACGATTCTCATCATTTAATTTGGAGAATTTGGTATCACATCAATTAGTAATTCCATTCTTTGATATTTTTTCTTTATTCTCATCACTTGTCTGCATGGTATTTTATAGATGTAGTAAGGAGAAATTCTCTCTTGATCACTCATGAGAGTTAAAGGGTTGATGACCATAGCTTTTCCTTTCCAAAGCATATGAATTTCCTGAAGTGCTACTCAGGAATTTTTTGAGCATGGTGGTTACTGTACGTAGAGTGATCATTCTTGTTGAAAAGTTAAGCTGATAAGTTATTTATAATCAGGTGCTGATTAGATTGTTGGCAGTGGTCAAAAATTATCAGAATATGTTTGTTATCTTAGACATGATATCATTCTCAGAAATGCAGGTATCATTGATAAAACAATGAGATGCATTTGACTTAGGAAAAATTGGCTAGTGTATTTCGCAAAGCATGTGATAGAATGATGATGCTTTAGACTAGAGTCTCTGAATGACACAGTCTTGAAGAATTCTTTGAACACTCTGACTATCACTGATTAACAACGTTAATTTTTCTTTCTGATGATAGTACCTCTTTAACTTACAATTGACATGGCCATGAATGGCGTTGGTTTCAGGTCTCCACAGGTTAATGCATTTATATCTCACAACAGCTTCCAGGTATTTTGGACTTCTTTTCTTGTAGCATGGTAATTAGATGCAGGAACATACAGTGAAAATTTGCTTGGTGTGCATGGATAATTTTTGTGAAAGAATTTATTAATATAACAAGTCTTGTATGGAAATGTGTTGAACAAGTTCAAACTCATTTGAAGTTGTTTCAAGGGTAGAATAGAGGTGAAATGAGTGAAAAAAATTGTTTTGGAAGCAGCACACACTAAGTAGGTTGCCGCTGAGAGGGCTGCCTAAAACATAAATGAGGCCCTCCTTGGCAAACTTCCAGAAGAAACCCTTTGGGTACAAGCAAGTTATATCTGATGAAAACCCCTTTCTGACACCTCTTGTATGAGTGCCCATGTTGCACGTTGAACGCAATTTTATTCTGAAATGACTTGCCACCTCTAGGTTACACACCATTTTAGTGAATGATAATTAAAATTAATTTGTGCATTTATTTGTTTCAGTGGCATTTTGATAAGGATCTTTTGTATCCCTGGTTTAAGGTTAGTAGTAAGGTCTATGTATACAACCAAAAGTGTTTGGCTCTTTGAGTCCAGAACAGGTGGAAATTTTGCTGGAGAAAAGATGACCAAAACCTTGCATTTTGGTTGCTGCAAGGGTTTTTTTTTTAATCATGCTGTTTTTGGAGCAAGATGTTTTATTGGCTATTTAACCCTTAAACTCCTATAAGTGATTAACACGTAACTTCTCCCCATAACATCCACACATTATCCAGCCTACACGTTATGAGAATACTCAAACTTATCAGGTAGAAGTTAGGAGTCTTGATCTAAAACCAAATTCTTGTGATTTTTTTACAAGGAAATGTGAAGCAGCTAGAGGGGAAGATTAACAATTAGATCTTGGGAGTTAAAGGGTTAAAATTTATGATCAGTCATTACTAACAAATTTTTCAACTTTTGAATTCTTTGTTTGTGTGAGAAAGCACATTACCTGCCCATTGCTTATTTGGTATGAGCATCTGAGAGAAAAGAGTATAGGAATGTAGATACTCCATAAAATGTGTTTAAATGCCTCTGTTTAAGCCAGGTTAGCATACAAAATTTAAGGGTAAATGCTGATATCAGCAGATCGTACTGCAATTAGAGCACAGTCTTTTACAAGTAATGTTGATGTTTTTGGAGAGTTATGATGAGAAACTTTCAGTTATCCCTGTCATATCAATGATGCTGATAAGTCACGTCAGTCTGATTCTCTCCCTGGACCATCCCTTTGAACTTGTTTCTTCATTCTACACTGTGTGACAAGCTGAAATGTCTCTTTCAGATGCTAAGGAGATAGAAGTGGCCAGGCAGATCAAGCAGCTGGTAGGGTGTGGACAAATCCCTTTTATTTCATGTTTTGTCTTTCCAGTGCTAATGATTGTTTCAAGGTAATAGTGAGCAAAACAAGAACTGATGCAGAGTGATGAGCAAAACTTTTTTCCCCATCTTATCGACAATGAAGAGAACTCTTTTGTCACTTTGTGACCAAGCCAAACCTCTCTGACTGCATCATATTCTTGTGTTTTTTGGAAATATGCACTGTCTACTGTCCAAAAATTTCTTTGAGCCTCAAAAAAAAAGAATGTTTCCTATGAAAGTCACTCGAACTCTACAATGAAAAGTCTGTTACATGTGCAATTGATTTACAACAGTCATTTTGATTTTCTTATATTGCAGTTCACTTGTTGCCATTTGGCCACAGTGTTGTGCTTTGTATGAGAAACCTCTTTTTGAAAGGTGATTCATCTGTGTTTGTGTTTTCTTTTCTTTTTTTTTTTTTTTTTCACAAATTGAATTTTTCAACCAGAATGATGATGTTTTGCCATTTTCGCAGTTTCCACCAGAAAGATTTTTATATCTTAATGTTGGTTTAATATCCTTGGATGTCTGACTGGTTGACAAGATTTTATTTTTAATTTTTTTGAGTTGTGCTTCTACCTTTATTTAAACAAAGTTTGACAGACTTGTGATATGATTTTAGGCAAACCTTGCTTGTCAATGAAGATCAACAGTGTCAAAAAACAGGAACTGAGGTGAACACTCATTTTGATACATTTCTTTTTGTTTTCTGTGGACTAGTGTGAGTTATTGATGTGTTAGTCATCATAGTTGTGTAGGTGTGATGTTTTGACTGGATTAACCTACTAATAAGCAACTGGCATGATGATTTCTAGCCATGTTCGCAGTTTCCATCAGAAAGATTCTGTCTTAATGTTGGCTTATTATCCTTGGATGTCTGACCAATTGCACATTTTCATGACTCAAGTTAAGTTGCAAATCTTTTCATGGCATATGTGACCTGGTATTTGCTTATTGTGCCCTTTAAGATCTCAACGGAAGATAGATGTTCTCCATACATGTAGCTGAAAAGAACAGGTGAGTTCATTTTGTAAGGTAACATTTCTTGGGGGAATTTGTTTTTTAAGTTGTGTACATAGATAACTTTTTTTCTACAAATTGTGTTCCATTTGGGTGGACTAATTGTGTTTTTAACTTAAGTAGCCAGCTTTGAATTAACTGATTCATCCTTCCTTTCCCCCACCTGCTGGGAATTCTGATTGTGTAAAGACTTTGTTTGCAATTTCATTGGAACACAGTGTTTTTCCCCTTATGCACACTGTTATATTTTAAGGCTGTTTACAAAGTTGCCTTTATTTTTTAGAAACTTGACAGACTTTTGTAGGGCCCATTTCTTGGAAGTCCTTCTCATGGGGGTAACAGAAGCCTATTTTATATTGTAGGAGTAGTGTGGGTCTTAGCTCAAAAAAACTAGTCCATTTTGTTTTCTTTCCTGATATTTTAGCTGTTTGAATCTAAAAAAAACTATTATACAAAAGCTTTGAATGTAAACATGGCAAACAAAGAGCTGTTTGGGACCAGTTACCAGCTAGATTGTTTGAGAAATGACTCTGGCGTTATGTAAGTGAACCTTGAAGAACAGTGGAACACTACTTCTAAGCCAGGATGATGATAGTCAGCCTTGTTCGCAGTTTCCACCAGAAAGATCATTGCATCTTACTGATGGTTTTAATTCCTTGGATGTCTGACTGGTTTAGATGATTGAAAATTATGCTATTGGGTTTTTCCTGCCACCACAAGTGGCAAAAAATAAGTGACAATTTTGCTGATACCTTGTTTTATAGGCTCAAAGAGGGCTTGTTACAAGGCAGAATACAAAAGTTGGTGAGTTAGGATTGATGTTGATAGAGGAATTTTTTTTTTTTTTTGCTGAATTTTTTAAAAAGTGTGGAATGATGTAAAAACTTTTTTCCCCATCCTATCGACAATGATGATAAACTTGCTGTCACTTTGTGGCAAGCCAGAACTGCCTGACCACACTGTAACCATTTAGTGCAGCATACAAGTGAGTGCTCATGCTGACATCTATGCACTTACATTTTTCTGTTTCAATTTCTTAAAAAATTTGTTGTTTGAAATGTTTGATTGGCTTTTTTCTTGTCATTTAGTAGAACTGTGTAAAAAAAACTTGCCTGACACGGGCAGTGTTTTCCCTTATTTCAAGTACAACAGGCAAAAGAAAGTTTCAAACTTGTAGAGCTATCCTTCTTTCCATTGAATTCTTGAGAATTCTAAGTGTTTTTAAGCAGTAATAAAAGGTGCTGCAGATGGTAAATGTTACTGGTTACTGCCTAAAAAGGAGAACACTGTGGATGTGCCTTGAAGTAGATGGCTTTCCTCACTAGGGGGAGAGAGGGTTAGTTTGCTGTTGTTTAGTTTCACTCCTGGGTAAAGAGGTGATGTCCAGTTTCTAGTTCCACAACTACATACCCCCACACAGAGTACTCTAATGAAACTGTGTAACTTAGGAGTCTAGCATGCCAGAAGGTCAAAGGTTGCACACTGTAGAAAAAGCAATCAAAGTCTACAGTATAGTTTTTGAGCAATCCATTTCCTGTGTAAAATTAATTCATTAAACTTTTCACCCTCTGCATGGCAGATTTTTTTTACCACTGGTATGAATGAACGATTCTAACCTGGAATACTTGAACTTACATTTGTAGGATGAAACTTTTCACCAAAGGACAAGAGAGCAAGCTTAATGCTGTTTTATGTTATTATGTAGGAAAAAAATAAAATGGTTGATTTTTCGAGAGGAGCTTGTATTGCCAGCTTTATAAAGTCAATCAACATCAGGTCCCTATTTAGGGTGAAGACATGCACAAAGAAAGAGCAAGTGAAATATTGTAGGGTTGCTTTTTTTTCTCATCTGCACTCTTCAAAAGGCTGGCATAGTTAAAGTACCTGTGCATATTTATGTGCTGAAGTAGGAGTGTTTTTTTATGTAAAGTTTCAATTTTTTGTTTTTGTTTTGGTTTTTTTTTTGTACCAATTGTTTTATTGTGCGAACGCTTTCTTTATAATTAATGATTAATGTTATAAATTGTCACACAATGTAACGAAATACTAGACTGACTGTAACGCGAATAGGAAGATTTCATGACATGATATTTCACATCGTTGTAAACAAAGTTCAACACTGATTTGCATGCGTACAGTGAACTAAATAAGGGAAAGAAACGTGTATTTGTGAAATTGCAACTAAAATAGGGTATATTACAGTACTTTGGGATTGGGAATTTACTGAACTCGTGATTGTGGGAAAATTACTTTATTTCGCAACTAGAACTGTAAAACGAAGTAGCACTGAATTGTAAGGGCAGATTGGTTTTAGATCGTTAGAGTGTTAGTATGTTCAGATTGTCAGGAGTGATGGAAGAAAATAAACGCGTTTAGAAAACAAAGACACAGTTCAGCAAATATCAAATGAAATACTTCGCCTAATGGAGACGGTTTACTATAAATTGGGGCACTTAGATCCATTTCTTTTGTGGTTCCCGAATCAGTCAATTAAATTTATGTTTGCCCCAATGCGGTTCGACTTAATAGTGCATTCCAGTAGACAAACAAAACTACAATCCGATCACCTCAGTTGTGGTGACTGGCTCAACTCTAAGTTGTAAAATCATGCGATCTCTTAATATTACAATAAGTATTTGTTGACTAAACTATTCGAGTTGCCATTCAAGGGATCGAAAAGAAGATCCTAATTATAGTCCTCATGAAATTGTGGAGTGGCGACTCTTGTCTCTCAGTGACGCACGAATCAGTGACCTGTCAGCGATATCAAACAATCGAGCACGCGCCCCTTCTTTTGGAGGTATTCGGGATTGTATCAGACCTTGTCAATGACGATCCGGAAACTCCGTAGAACGCGACAAACATTTGTATAGATTAGGTCTGGTCGTAAACTAGGGCTCCCCCGAACCAGAAACTATATTCATATGATCAATATTAATTTTAAGTTCCATTTGAGCAATACATAGTTTAGTGGTAGACCTAAAGGGAACGGGGTCAAGCTCTATCTGGCCATCAAAAAACGGGATGTTACTGTTACCCATTTTTCTGCACATTGCATTAATTTTTAAGTGTCTCATCTGTAGAAAGGAAGACAAGTGTTGGCTTTGATTTAAAAATAGTGTAATGTCCAATTGCGCCTACCCTTCAGTCCCAGAAGAGCAATATCTCAGTTGAGAAGAGAATTCTGCAAGGATTCCTTTTGGGCTAAAACGATAATTTTTTCTAAAAGTTTAATTGAGTTTTCACTGCTGTGGCTGAACGTAAGACCAACGGTTTAAACACTTTAGATATCTTTCGGTAAACGAGCGGTTACCTGCCAGTCGATTTAGAAGACAGAGTGCTAAACGAAAAAAAATTCCCACGGTATTAACGAGCACTTTTCATCCAACTAATTCATTCTTGTTTCCTCTTCACCATATTCCCACCAATGGCGTAGCTCTATTTTCTGCCTGTAAACCCACACACAACCCACAATTCCTCCAATCGCTCTGACGAAGGGCTAACGCTCAAAACGTCAGCCTTTAAACTCATTACGGTGGCTAATTTACGTTTTCAACTCGGTTGTTAACACTAATTTAACAAATACCTTCGTTGGTCATTGTCTCAGAATATTTTTCTGGTTCCTAAAGGAGTGTGTCTTGTTATTGGAATTTTTTGCGAACATGAGCATAAAAATGTGTCCAACTTGTGGGATAAAGACCGGAATAATGTAAGGGTTGTTTTCTGGTGCTGGAGTCGTGCGTCAGTTTTAATTAAAAAATTGCGTCGTGATCGAACTTGGCCATGATAGGAAACGAGTTGAAAGATTTGGGGGCGAACCGTTTTTACTACAAGGGACAAAATTGCAATGCGCCTCATTCCTCTTCGCCGCTCTTTTCCCTATGTGTTACGCCTAGCTTGCAGGTAAACGAAAGATTATCATAAACTTACATCATGTTAATAATGATTTTTCCTGAATTCTTTGCCTTTGTTGGTTTTTGTCTTTTGTCAACAACTGTTAAGGTTTTTATTGGCTGTATCCTCCGAGATTTAGATTTACAAGATTCCGAGGTTCTAACTCGTCAAAAAGAAACTATCCGTTCTCGCGGACAACAACTTCTCTCGAAGGCTTAAACTCAACTCTGGTATATGAAAGCTATGCGTGTGTCAATAAACACGCCCTTTGATGAGATAAGCAGTATTCGGTTTCAAGCTAGGTTCTAATTAAAAAATGAAAAAAAAATATTCGTAGTGTTGAGTTCTTAAGGTTCGCAAGGTTCAATTTTTAAGGTTTACAAGGTTCAGTTCTGAGACTCGTGATCCGTTTCTTCAGAACAACCGATAGCACAAAATCTATGAGATTTTATGGGAAATTTTTTTCGGTGAATCTGTAGAGTCGTCTTTCAGAGTTGTCGCTAAAATGAAATATAACCTGAAAAGAACTCTGTCACTGAAAACCAAAAATGTATATTTTCAGTTCCAAGTTTGGTTTTTGTCGCGACCTTCTTCGTTTGAAAAAGGAACAATCTTTCTTTCAATGATCTACTCTAAAATTAAAGTTGCATCAGGTATCGTGAATTTTTCTAAGGTACCCTATGGACTGATCTTTGTTGTCTTAATTAGTTTTTGTTTCATTTATTTATTTTCCTTACCACAAATCTCGCCATCGGCACCACAAATAGCGACAATATCCAAGTATTTCCTTCCCAACGCATATTAAATATACATATTAGATATCGTTTCATTAAGTTTAGAATATAATCATATCACGGGCGACAAGAGATTAAAATCTGTTGAGGGCAAGTTCTCGTTGAGCCAATTAATAGAGATTTTACAAGCCTTTATTTGTTTTGCGGGGTGTTCCTTTCTTTTCGGACATTACAGGAAAACCGCAACAGTTTCTTTTCTAGTTTGCCGAGCTAGCTTACAAATATTTTACTGATATCTAATTACCTCATTTCCTCGAATAAGCGCCCACGCTCCAATAAGCGCCCTCCCCCTAAGCCATAGTGTCAGAGTGTCAGGCAAGAGCCCCTCTCGAATAAACGCCCACATCTCCTCGCTTACTTTCTCAGATAGAAAGGATATGAGGAAAACCTGTTTCTATTGCCATTTTTTTAAGCCTCAACCAAAGAGGAATCAGTGAAAGAGAATGATAAGCGCTCCCCTCGATTAAGGGCCTTCCTTGCAATAAGCGCCCCTCCTTTGAGCTGAAATTTCAAATAAGCATCCGGGTGCTTATTCGAGGAAATACGGTATGTTGAAGACGCCTTTTCATGAGCTGTCGGTTTCGGTTAAGATTATCACCTTCACGTGAAATTGTGAACTAACTTTCTCTCACACGTGCCTTTTTCTTTAGCAAAAATATACTTAAACATGGGCATCATGAATTTGGTGTTTGTGACTGAAGCGTCACCGCTGTCTCAAAAAGGTCCCATGAACTTAGTGGCATTGTCTAAGTAATATGATTTAGCAGGTTCACCCGTGGCACCTGTAACCTTGATGGGAAAATACCAGACCAGAATTGAAATGAGCATGTGATGAAGGGAGGAGTCTGCCACAGACTGAGTAAGTGAGTGATGTGTCTTAGACTAACTATGGAACATGATTATTTTAAGACAACGATTCCAACTGTTACAGTTCGACCAGACAACAAAAGACCATTTTTGCTTTGAGAATTCTTCCATGCTCTTTACTTAGTTAGTATCGAAGTCTTTGCAAGCTGCACTCCACAGATGGCCATTTGAAGTTGAGCTAACCAGAAATGTTTGCCCCCAAATTTCATGCGACGACAAATTTCTGTTCGGGCACTATTAAAAGCACAGAAGGTTAGGGTGTCATTAGGGCGTGTCGCGCGGCGATTCCCCGTGTCTGCAATATTTCAGTTCAATTTAATTTCCTTGGTATTAGACGAGTTAAAACATTTACGTCTAGATTATTTCAGATTTTAAAATCTCCATATCGGATGTACGCGGACACCTCTCAAAGTTGAATGACACGATGAATTGTGTGTCCCTTTGCGGTGTTGATCGCTTTGGGCGTTTTCGTGCTAGTTTTGCCAGATCAACAGCTGATATGTTAAATTATCTTCGTTGTCTTTTTTAAATCGTGCAATCTAACTTGCTAAGAATGAGGGAAGGTTCATTTGGTGGCAAAGGCCTCCAGGATTCCAGCTGCAACCTGGTCGCTCTTGTGAACCGTCTGAGACAGATTAATTAGAGTTCAGTGTCAAAGTTCAGCCCTCCTCTTAATTTCCGTTCACTTGCGTTCTGAGCCATCCAGGGAGAATTCGTTCGTAGATCACTGGCCTCTCTTGCTCGGCCTTGTTCGCCATATATCAACTCAATTCCACGTCTAAATTTCTAGCCAACTCTTTTTTTGCGTTAAAAACATATTTCCTCTGAGAAGCAAACGTTGCTTTGATGCATCAATCAACTATAACCCTGCATGACCTATTTCAAAACAACGCTGTCAATGCTACGATGAATTGCATGTCAACTGTATTGGCGTGGGTCTGACCTAACGTACAAAGTTTCAGTGATATTCTAAGGTGAGAGATTTGTGGGCAGTTTGCACGCAATCCTTTCGCTTGTTGTGGTGTTGTTTAAAATCACCGAAGAACGACAGCAGTTTGGTTGAAAATAGTATTTTCTTTGGTTCTTTTGTGGAGGGTCATTAAAATATTAAGGGTTGCGCGTGACAGGATATTGACAGGGTTTTTCTTCA